AGATGATATTCCAGGCTGCAAGTGAATAAATAGATGGGGGGTAATTTTTCAGCCTTCAGTGTGTGTCTGGATCCAATATTATCTCTATTCCCTCCCTTATTAAAGGACTCATGCAGAGTTTATGGCCGTGTAAGTTGAACATTTCCAGTAATTTTTCCTTTTTAAAAGACCCGGATTAATTTATTTTTAAACCTTATTTACAGCTCTCTATTTCTGCCGACTGCTTAATCCAGTTTTCTGTATCCACTCCCAGTAGGAAGCCCCTTTTTCCTTGCTTTTCCTCAATAATTTTCACTGAAATTAATACATTACATTTTCTGGTCCTTTTAAAGGAGCACTTGCTGCAAAAACTGATTTGGATCCTGAAAATCACTCTGTGTCTGGGACTTTTTTGCCACAGCCTTTGATTTTGTTCCAGTAATCCATTGTTGCTTATTCCTCAAAGGTTGGTTTGGTTTTAGTCTCAATCAGATGTGATTTTTTCCCCCCCACACCTTGTGTGGAACAATCAAACGTTGTCTTTCTGGGAAGCAACGTTGATTTTTTTGGGGAACAGGTGGATCTGTATCCAGTCAGGACACTGGTCCTGTACCTGAGTGCTGCTACTGATTAATTGGATCAGAGGAAAAACTCCGACTCAGACATAAATATCATTTTACCATCCAATCTTTTCAGCTGATTTATGGCTGAAAACGTGGAGGTTTAATTCAAATAGTGCCAGATGTGCTTATTATATTCCCGTGTTATTAATTCATCTTATGAATTCTTCCCTGGGATTTTATTTTGATGTGTTTAATGTGAAAAATGGTCCTCTGACAGTTTGGAATTTGCCACCTCAAAGGCTTATGTGAGGAAAAGATGCTGATTACAAGTTCTCAATCTCTGTTGTCTTTATTTTTATTTTAGTATTTTATGCTCCTGTGAAGTGTCCTCTCAGACAAATAAGTTCTTTATTTTCAATGTCTTTGGTAATTAATTTTTTTAATCACCTGATGAGGAATAAGTGACGGGAAGGGAATCCAACATTTCTCTGCTAAAGAAACCTCCGTGATTTGATCAAACTCTATTTAAAAGCTGCTTTGTTGCCCTTTCCCTGTTGAGCCACATTTGCTGGCAGTGGGATGTACAATATTCCAGGGGAAGGCAGGCCCCTGACTTACAGGATGGATTGCAATGGAATTATGGATCTTTGTCCCCTTTGTTGTCACTCCTTCCCTGACTGTTCCCAGCACTGACACCCCGAGGTGGCCTTTTGGCTGCTCCTGATGAGGCCCAGCTGGGTTTTCCCTGAATTGGTTGGTTTTTGGGAATGTGGTGACATAGGAAGAGTCTCCCCACGGCATTCCCTGTGTTTATCAGCATTCCCTCTATCCCACTCTCTGGGTTATCACTCTTCCTAGTTAAACCTGTCAGTGTCCTGTATCCCAAATACTGGCTTTCCCTATAAATTGGGAAAATAAATTGGATGGGCTGCCATCATTCAGTGTCATTCCCAGATCCCCACTGCAGCTGTAAAACCTTTCCAGTGTGACATGAACAGGAAGAAATTTCTAATTCCTGGCAGAAGTGGATTTTGGGCCCTGATTCCTGATTTTCTGGTCTTACACAGGACTTGAATTCAAACCTTTTGGCACTTCCAGGAAAACATCAGCTTGTCTTTCCAAACCCTGTATCCCTGTGTTTGAGAGATTTGGGAGATGGGGCTGTTTTACCAGTGGAGACCCCACTCAGACAGTCAATTAATGTGGTTTGGTTTCCTTTTGCTCCTTTTTCCATGGGAATTCCAGCCATTCAATGGCAGGGCTTTATCCCTAGGGAACAATCCTCTTCATCCCAGCCAACCCCAGCCTCTCTGACACCTCGTTCCACAACGGAGACCTCTCCTCTACTTCACTCCACTTGGGAATTTCTCTTATATTCTCAACCTTGCCAACCCTTCTTTTTTTGGGAATTCATTCCAAACAACATTTGCTTTCGGTTTCTGACCCCCTTTGGAAGAATTCCCAGGAGTCTTGGGCAGCCACCTCCTCAGACAACTGGGAAATGTGTGTTTTGTTTGTTCTTTTTGTTCATTACGCTTTTCCTTAACCTTTTTTTTTGAGCTCATAAGGTGTTGGGAAAGGTTGGATAAATGTCCCCAGGAAAAGATTGACAAGGCTGGAGTTAAAGAGGGAGGATGGATTTGTGCCCAGCTTTTGAGATCATATGTGGAGGTACCTAATTAGTGCTTATTCACTGAGTCCTTGGGGTATTGTTCAGATTTTGCTTTTAGACTGGAATTTTTCTCTTGAGGGCCAAAGGACTGTTGGGTTTGTCTTTATCAAATGCAAAGAAAAAAGATTCGTGTAAAAAAAAACCCCACAAAAACTGATCACAATCACAATTAATTTATGTTTTTATCGAGAAGTCCTGTAGGTAAATTGTGCCCACCCAGTGTCATTAATGATGAACAGAAGGAACTGAACATGTCCAGTTTTGGCACATTTTAGACATATTCTGTATGAAATTCCATAGTCAGCAAAATTTGGGAAGGAAGCATTGCCCCTCAGAATACTACAGGCCACGAACTGCTGCAATCTTGGGATAATACAGTTTTCCAGGGATGCCAAGAGCCACGTGCTCTGCTCAGCAATATTCCCAGTCCTTAGCTCCAACAGAAACTTGGACTCTCTTCATAAACTTCACGTTTCTCAAGTATTTTTCCCAATTTTTCACCTTTCTCAGTCTAAAAGGTTTGTGATTCATCCCAAGGAGCAGGAATAATTTAACAAATAAAATCTGTAGCTGAATTAAAGGGTTTGTTCAAAGATATTAATTAGTAAATTAGTAAATTTAAAAGCTGAATCCCCTCGAAATGTAATATTTTGGAAGCCAGCCATGGCACTCCTGGCATGTCTGGAGCTGCCCATCACACACAGCAACTTGTGGGGGGGGTTTACACAAAAAGCAGCAAATTTAAAGTTATGAGACACTGGTTTTAGCGTAATTTTATTAAAAATACAAAAATTATCAAAGCAGTAGTGATGGGATTCAGTAGATGAGCTGCAAAGAAATACAAGGTAAGAAGGATGTGTCACATCTTCCTAAAACAATTGGCATGAAAAATGGAGTGCATCTAATTAAATTTTGGCTTGAGATATTAATAATAACTATTAATCAGTGGATATCTGTGGTTTGGGGCGTCCTGTGAACACCAGGAGTTTCTGAAGTGTCACTCCAGCTTGTCACCAGAGACTTTTGGACGTGGGGAAAGTCAGTCACTGGAGATGCTTGAGACACCTCAGGTTGTTTTAGGATGTGCTGGGTGAGGAATTTTAGGGAATTCCACAGTTGGTGGGCACCTTCACCAGCTGCCAGCAGAAATACTCAGTTCTATTATTTTTTTTTGGCTCTATTTGAATTCTTTACCTTCTGTGTCGTGCTTGAGACCGCGAGGAAAATACGTGAGTTCATTTTACACCCGGTGCTTGCCATCACCCTGATGATGTTTCCTCCACCAATCATTTTTAGGTTTCCTGAGGGCCTTTCTGAATTTGTCACTTAATGGTCTCCTAAATCAATAGTAACCTCCAGGAGCTGGTTATTATCACACATTGCTGGTTGTCCTCACAATTGCTGCCGGCTCCTTTGAGGGTCTGATGGGAATTTTCGGCTGAAATCGTCTTTGTCCTCCTTTTCCCAAGTATTGGCCTCATCCACCCGTTGGAAAAACGCTTTCTGGGGCCAACCTAGTCACCTTTATTTAAGAATCCTTCGTGTACTTGTTGTTTAGGGCATATTGATTGCTAATAAAGGCATCTGCGTGGAGTTCTCCTGCGGGTGAAGCCGTGTCCGTGAAGCAATTAGCACTTGGTGTGAGGGCAGAGGGGAAGGCGCCTCCAAAGCAGCTGCCTGGGCAGTTCCCAGTGGGATATTGCTGAGTAGAAGAAGGATTTTAGTCTGTCCTACCTTATACCACCAAGACACACTCGTACCTCCATGGCAGGAGTAGGAAAAGGAGTGGGAAGAGGGGGATCGGTTGTGTCGGGATTGGTGGAGCTCCTGTTTTATCCCATCTATCCCTGCCCTCTGGCAGTGGGAAGCCATTCCACCTTGTCCTGTCACTCCATCTCTTGTAAATAGTCTCTCTCCATCTTTCTTGTAGCTCCTTCAGGTCCTGGAAGGCCACAATTATGTCACCCTGCAACTTCTCTTCTCCAGGCTGGACTATCCCAACTCTCTCAGCCTTTTTTCCCTGGATTAACACTTGTATGGGAAATGGGGCGAAACTGGGAGGATGCAGACTCCAACTGGTTATCAGAAAAAATGTTCCAGTGGCAATGTCTGCCTAGAAGAGTTTTCTAAGCACTAAAAATTTCCATCCCTTTGTTTTTAGTGCAGAGCAGAAACCTCCCAAACTTTTTCCTGACGCTTCCAGAAATAATCAACTTCTGAACTCCGTGACAAATGGGGTTTGTGTATAAATTTAACTGTGGCAACGTTTGAGTGGCTTCAAATTTAGAGGGGTGGCAAGCACATTGGACACAGTGCAACATCACTGGGGAGCATTTGCATAGTGGGGACACGGCCAACAATGTGTTCCCTCAGCCCGGCAGATGCCAAGGAATACCTTAAAGGAGAGGAAAACATCCAAAGGGAGCACGGGAGGAGTGTGCAAAACTGGCCATATTAATCATGTTAAGGGCAGCTTTGGAGTGTGTTTGTGAGCCCTGGTTTTGTGGGTTTGTCCCCAGGAGCGGGGAGGGTTTGGTGGGTGTGGGTCCCAGCCTGGCCGTGGTGGTGGAGCTCAGCCTGGTCCTGGTGCCACGGCACAACGGGGACAATATTCCTTGTCAGTTCTGAAGATTCCCTTGATAATCCCCAGCTCAGTGTGGCAGGGCTGGTTTCAGCTGGAAGGTTCTTGGCTGGTGGAAGCAGGAGCTCCCCGTTGGCGCCGGGAACGCCGGACCTTGAGTCTCAAATGTCCAAACACTTCTAAGGTTGATAAATCCTCTTTTTCAGACTCCTGCTGAACAGGCCAAGGCCAGGCTACAGCTGGTTCTGGAGGCAGCTGGTGAGTAAAATGATATTCTTCAGAAATACATTTAATTTTTGTAACATCAGATAACAGTTTTATCCAGTTTTTGGCAAATGTTGAGTCCCGTTCTCTGTAAGTCACTTAAATTCCAGGTTAAGCTGAATCTGGTTTGCATTGTCATTGGCACTTGGTAAATCCCTTTAAGGAAATAAAAACAAGTGGTGTTTTACACTTAGACCTCACACGTTTGTCCTCTGGCTGCTGCTGTTACTGAGACTTTATTCTGTGCCCTCCAAAATTTGGGGGTTTAAATTTTTTTAATTTTCTTTCTTTATTTTTTAGGACTGATCTGAATTAGTACATGTATATATTTATATTTATTTATTTGAAGTGATGGCAAGCTTTCCAAAAGGCTTTTCCAAAGCTTTCCAAACAGCTCAGATCAAGAGGCAGATCTACAAATTAATTCTCTACAGAGAGAAACATTCCTATATTAACATTCCTATTTTGATTTTCTTATTAAACTGTGTCAGCTTGTCACACAAGAAGGAAAGCTTTCAGTATTTCATATATATTGTAGTAAGTCTATGTTTCTCTTTACTTTCCTATTTGCATTTTTAACTTAAAGGCAGCGATTTCCAAGAAAATTTTTTTTTTTTTTTTAATTTTTCCCCTTTTCAAACCTTTGGTTTTTAGGAATAATCTCCTCACATTGCTGGTGTCTGTTTTCCAAAAGAAATCCAGCTTTTCGCGTTGTCTGCCTTCCAATTCGTTCCTTGTTCTCCAGAACTTTTAATAAATCCTTGAAACATGTAATTATAAAATAGATGTGACAGCCCTGACCTCAAAAGCACAATGTGTGTGTTCTGCTCCCATCGCTCACACCTCAGTTTTTCATTTCAATATTTTAATTTTAATGTAGAAAAGGTAACTCTGGGCTGTACATCATCACGACCTGGGCTCCAAAATTTCCAAAAACATATCAAAGGTCTGTGGCATTGTTAAATTTAAATATTCACCATCGAGGGCTGAATCTTGGATTGGAGCTGTAAGTTGTTCATGAAGAGCCAAAGAGACTTAAAGTCTTTTTTGCCACCCAAAATACAGACAGAAGTCCTTTCCTGCCTTTATTTAAGTCTTGGGCATCTCAGGCCTTTATGAAATCACCCCCCACCTTCTTCCCCCAGTCCTGCATTCAGTCCATTGCATTTAATTTTTATTAAATTGGAGGGAGAGGAGTGTTATTTCAACATCTTTTAGTGTGTTTGCTCATTGCAAAATCAGCACCTTTTTCACCTTTTGGTGTTAAAAATGAAGAATAAATTTGTGTTAGACCATTCCAGGAGCTCGGGGTCAGCAGGTTCGTTGTTGTTGCTGTTTGATGGAATTGGATATAAGATAATTTAACTCCGTCCCTGGTAACGATGAACGAAGCTGGTAATGATGATTGAAGCTCTTGTTTGTGTGTGCAGGGCTCAAGACAGAGTCCATCCCAAACCTGGGAATGAACTTGTGGAATATCTGGCTGTACATGTTACAGGAATTGCTGCAATCCCACTGAGTGGGATAAAAACTGGGCTTTATTCCCAGCGGATTATCCTCCTGGATGTGGTTGGTAATGACTCTGCTCCTCCATGGTTTGGACAAACAAACCAGGGGCTCAAAATTACCAACAAGTGTTGGAGAGACATTTGGGATGGTCCCCTCCTGGTTCATCCCTGCTGACATCATGGAATCATGGAATGGTTTGGGGTGGAAGGACCTCAAAGCCCATCCAGTGCCACCCCCTGCCATGGGCAGGGACACCTTCCCCTATCCCAGGTTGCTCCAAGCCCCGTCCAACCTGGCCTTGGACACTTCCAGGGCTGCCACAGCTTCTCTGGGCAATTTCTTGAATTTCCTGTCTTTATTTTCCTCTCTGAATTTCCCTGTTGCAGATATTTGGGATCTTGGGGAAAACCCGCTTTTAGAATTTAACTTAGATGTAATTTCAGGAAATAACAACTGCTTTCTCTAAGAGACAGGAGGTAACAAGTAGCTGAACAGGCTCTTTTTATTTAGATTTATTTCTCTCTGGTGCATTTTGGAGATGGGAATTGTGACTTCTGGTCTCTCATTGTGGGAGAGCTGGTGAAATGAAAAATATTCACCTGTGTGTGTGAGGGAGGAGAGGAAGGTGGCTGTTTTTACATCCAGGTACTATAGTGCTGGCAAGAAGTTTTGTCTCCAAGTCCTGTGTTCGTGCTGACTTGGTTAAATATTGTTTTTCTTTGTGGGTGTAATTAATGTCAGTACCTTTGTTCTCATTAAGGGCAATGCTGGGAGGTGCTGAAAGCCTCCAATTTAATCCTCGAGGCAACTGATTTTTGATTTATCGAAGTAGAAGCTGTTGGTTTGGGCTCTAAATTCGTATTTATGTGACTTTATTGAATTGGATTTCTTAATATTGAGGTGCCAGGAAGGCTCTTGCAGCCCCTGACGAGCTCCCCCAAGTCGCCGTGCTCGAGCAGATGTTAAGCAGGCAGTAGTTGAATGTTAATTTGGAGAGGGTGGGATGTTTTAAGCCCATCTGAAGTATGTTGCATGTGGGCCTTCCAGACTCAGCCACAATGCTTTGTCCCTTGGGAGAATTTCCAAGCTAAACCTCTTTCTCTTTGTGGCTCTATATGGACTCTCTCAAGTCAGTATAAAGCAGATCATCCCTGGGCTAAAGCTCTCCAGCTTTTGTTCCGGGGCTCTGTAGGGCTGTAATTAGGCCTCCTGGCAGGCCATGCCGGCCAGTTAATGGTCATATGGAGTTTCTATGGGGCAGACTGGCTTTGTGTAAATCCTTGCTCGGGAGCCGTTTATGGGTCACTTCCTACCAGGCCGCGCCTTTGTGGCGCTGCCCCACGGGCTGACGGGGAGCAGGTTCCCTTGACCATCCCGGCACAATCCCCCCTCCTAATCCCCAGTGTAAACAGAGGATTTAGCTCAGCTTCTGTCACTTACAGTTGCCAAACCACTTGGGTGTCTGTGATTCCTTTCCCAGACTCCACTGCCCAGAAGGACGGGAGGTTTTGTGTTAAACGTTGCTCCGCTCGCCGGTTTTAGGGGAAAAGTTCTCCCCCGCTTCAAGCCCTAAACTGGGGACAAACAGCAAACCTCACAGCTTTAAAGCTTCTTCATCCACACCTTAATTTGCCCTGTGGCATCAGTGTTTCCTCGCAGAGATTCAAACGTGGATGAATATTCCAAAAATGTCAATAAATTCCTCTGAAACAGCACATGGACGTTTCAAACCATCAATATTCCTGCCTCTTCCAAAGGGCTCCCAAAGCTTTTCCATGGTGCTAAGCAGAAATGTCTTGCTCTCCATATAAAGACGCTGACAAAAGGCAATTGATCTGGATTTTCAAAGGTCTAGAGTTGAAATAAGTGACTGATGTATTTTTGGAATCTGCATTTCAATCTCTGGCTGAAAGAGCACTCAAGAATGGGGTGGTTTTGTGCAAAGAATTCGTCCCGGAGTTTATTTAAAGGAAACTTCAGGATGGAGGCACTAATGGGACATTAACAATCGACACTAAAAATGGGTGAATACAAATCACAAGCATTTAACATTTATCTGTTTGGCTGCAATTCTGGATATTGGATATTTAGCTCATTATCTCTGAATTACGCCATCAAATTGCCTCCTTTAATTCTGTGCCTTTGTTGCATTTTACATATTCCTTAAAGGGAAAAATCACGGAATACAACAACTAATTTGGCCTTAACTGTTGCAAACACAAATGTTTTATAATTCTTACAGCTTCTTTTTTATTACTGAGGAGAAAAATCGCTATTTGCACTCAGTGCCTGGTAAATATAGTCAAATATTCCCTGCTTTTGGGCATCAAAATGGCTCATAACAGATGTGGCTGAAAGGACCACATACGTAGACTGTATGATTTTAGTCTGGTGGAACTAATAGGATCACTTGGTACTTTATAGATTCCTGCTTTTCTTTTGCTTTAATAAAAACTGTTTAGTTAAATAGGTTGGCCTCTATTTTGCTCTTTTCTAGCCATGCAGAGCAGGGAGGGGGGCAGGTGGCAACAAGTATGAAAAATTTCCTTTTATTGGGGCTTCTTTTCAACTGCCAAATTTATGGAGTGGTTATGGATTTCTCGTTTTGATGATGCTTTTCTTTCAGTTTTGCTGTTTGTGTTCTTCCCACTGAAAAGTCCGTGGCTTCCATTTGAATTTCGAATTCTGCAATGAATTTTAGGAGGATGGATAACATGTGTGGCTGTATAGACACAAAGGATGAAATAAGACTTAAAATATTTCACTTGTTTCGTGGAAATTTAAAACTGCTTTAAAAATAAGGTTTGTCGCAGAAATTGCAGGAATTTGAACTTATAACAGGCTTAAAACTTGCTGAATATTGACAAAGAGATTAATTTAGTTTCTGTGTGGGTATGCTCAGTTTGATTGAATGTAAAATTCTTATTTCTCTCCATTTCAAGGAGTTGTTTTGAGTAGAGTCAATTGACACTTTGGATAATTGAATTTTACTTTTATTTATATAAAAATCTGAGTTTGGAGAGCAAAAATCTCTTATTGAACTACCTTTTCTCTCTGTGGCAAACATGAATGTGCTAAAAAGGATTTTGAAGGTGTTTTGTGCAGCATTTCTTGAACCTCCAGCTAAGGAGAAGAAGTTTTCTCCATGGTGAGTCTTCACCAGTCTGAGAAGTTCGTTACTATTCCCTGTCTCAAAGGAAAATAAACTGGAATTACACTCGTAAAGTGCCTCCAAATGATCCAGGTGGGCTGTGCAGTTGGATTTCCACTTGCTGGCAGGAGAAATGCTGAATGCATCTTCCTGGAGCTGTGGAGGGGAAGGGCTTTGACTTCTGGGCTTCAGGAGTCTCAGAGAGCTCTTCCGTTCCATGAGGATCTGATCCATGATGGATTCTGCCACCTCTGATCCTGTCCCTGCACTCCACAGATGAGTTCACAAGTCTTGATTGGTGAAATGATTAATTTTTTTAGGTTTCTCCTGCTCA